GCCTACGGGGAGCCCAGGAAGAGCAAGGCGGCCGTGTGGCCCCAGGAGAGGGCAGGCCAGGGGCAGTTTCCTCCCCCGAAGGTGAAGCTGATTTAGCACCACCTCCTCGGGGATGACCGAGCTGGACTGTGGGAAGCAGTGGGATTTGTTAACAAGAATTACGATTGTGCCTTACGCGTGATATATGTCACTGCCATGATGACTCTGTTGAGTGTTTTGCTGTAAAATTCCTTGCTGACCCTGCCCTGGAGTCCCATGCCTCTCAAACTCTAGCTCTTCTTCCTCTGCTTCGAGCAGCTTCTCCCTCCTCCTTCAGAGCTGGCATTACTCTTACACATACTTGGCGTTTCGATTAAACATTGTGTGTTCCCAAAAGCCTCCTTGATTGTCCCCGGTGGAGCTGGGTGGTCTTCCTGTGACGTCCTGCACTTCCCTTCTCTTTAGCACTCAGTGCTTCACAGGACAAAGCAGTGTTTAAGAACTCTTCCCAGTGAGCCGTGGGGTACCGTGGGCCAACACTGTGTCTGTCTTGTTCCCAGTCGGTCTCCAGTGTTGAGTTCCGGCAGGTCATTGAATGCATTTAGTGCATATTTGTGGGTGGATGGATGGATGGATGGTTGAAAGTGTGCATGCTAGTGAAATTTGCTCCTAACACGGCATGTTACAAGGCAGGGTGCGATTGGACAATATTGTAAGAGTGGTGAAGTATGCAATGCCACACAGACTTGTTCACTCTGAGACCAGAGATCTCATCAAGAAAAGTCCCCAAGGGGGAAAATGTTACGAGATTTTTAGAACCTTAAAATTGGAAAGAACCCTTTTTGTCATTTAGTTAAATGTCCTCAATTAAGAGAAAGAGAAAGGGGAGGACCAAAGAAATGAAGTTACTTGCCAAAGTCACCCATTCGTTATGGTCAGGGCTGGGCCTGGGAACCTGGCATTCAGGTTTCCTAGCGTTTGACTCAGAGTGTGTGTTGGGCACTCACTGCCTACTTCGAGGATCCCAGGATCCTGACACTGAAATGCTGTAAACAGTTGTACAAAGAGAAAACTCATGCTGGGTGGGGGTGGGAGGGACATGCATTTTGTGGGGAGGAAATCACCACCTTCATGTGATAGGTCCTAAACCCTTCAGCATTTATTTGAATACTTCTGAAAGTATTTTAATTTCTGGATCAGACAGACAATGAATGCTCCGACCTGCTTGGCATATTTTCCCTCACGCCCATCCGTGGAATTCAAAAGTAGCAAGCTCAATTTGAAAGTAAATTATTGGTAAACATTTGAAAGTGAGAAACAAATCCTTCCCGGAACGCTTAGCTCTTCCCTTCAATACACTCTTGAAAATTGCTGAGACTCCATTCCGTGAGAATGCTTGAATCTCTCCCTAAATCATAACACGGGTAAACTTACTGAAATATTTTTACAATTTTATTAGAGGTTTTAATTCAGTGCTTTATCTATCTCTGTTAGACTGCAAAATAGCTTTAAATATTCAAGTGGTAATTAATGAATCTTTTATGTTGCAAATCAAACATTTTCATCTGTGCGCTGGTGGAGTGGCGGTGAGAAAGGATTCAAAGAGTAATTGTTTCTCGATTCCACACTGTTGACTAGCGAGTACCTGCATTTGCAGTCGTCACCTAGTGGGCCTAAAGCTTAGCATGGATGGTCTGCTGTCTTTCTGGAGGTCAGGATTTCTGACGTGTTTCTTGCCAGAGACATTCCCGACTAGATGGAAAGTCTTTCAATGTGGAATTTTTGCTTGAGTGCAAAATAATAAAAAGCATGTGTATGTTAGAAAAAAAAAGGGATCAGCTTAATGGCAAATGAGCATTGGCTTACATTAATATTCTGTTACAGTAAAAACTTCTATTTAATAAATTTTCTCCAGACTCCCCCCCACTCCAGAATCTAATGTATTTTTCTAAGTGGCATGCCAGCTGAAAGTATACGTTATACATTTGATTTATGTTAAGTCAATAACATGCAGAAGCCATTTAAAATTGTATTTTGAGTGGAGAAATATCAATTCGAGGAGACCCGTATAGTCCCCTAGATTGAGAAGGGAGAAGTGTTAGCTTTTCAGAGGCTGAAATGCCTTTTAAATATTACTCTATTTAGAAGATGTTTTTCAAATGTGCTGCGTTTTGTCGAGTGGCAAGAAAAGTACGCCCGGAATCCTGCAGTTTAGTTTAGAATCGAAAATTAAGCCGGTATTAAAGACTTCATGGAGCAAAATAGTCTTCCTCTCTCTTTCTGTCACTAAGAAATGAGCCAGTGAGAGCAGCTCTCGAGAAAGCTCACAAAAGATTGACAAATTCGTCATGGGAAGCCACCCTGTGTTCTTCTAGGGCCTTAATTAATACTGGACTTGGTGACATCCATGTATCAGAGCAGTAAGCTAAACAGGAAACAATTTATGTCACCCAAAGCTTTTTAACAAATCGATGCAACTATTTGTAATTACTTGTTTCACAAGATTAAAAGTGCTAAGGCCTGATCTCCGCTCACGGATTTGTGGTCAACCTGACCTGTGCTTCCGTTGTTTAAAAAAAAAAAAAGAGCGAGTGAGAGAATTGGTGATCCGCAGTGACTTCCATCAAGTAATCCATATTGCTAATATTTCTGGAATTTTAATGTAGTTACAATTTATAGCCGATCAAATGTGGTTACCTAAATTGCTGTTGCTAGTAGACAGTTTAACTGTCTTTATTAATTACAGTATAATTTAATGTTTGAGTACCAGCACTTGTGTTGGTCATTTTTACAGCCAGAGCAGTTATCTGCCTTATGACGAACCATTTTAGCATTTTCAATGGAAATTTGCTAATATGATGAGTGATAAAAATGTCACATGCTGGTAAATAATGATTATTGCTTTGGCTGAAATTAATTCTTGAAAGGCCGGTTACCTTCAAATTAACATTATAACTTGAAGCTTGTCTTTTTTTTCCCCTCCCTATATTCTTAGTATAAGCCAAAAAAAAAAAAAGCCCGTTGATCATATCAAATGGATATACATATTATATATATGCATTTTTTTATATACTAAGCATGGAATGTCATTTTACAGTCAGGGTGGGAATAAGATGACATTGGTTTTGTTTTTTAAAAAAATAAAATGCTGTTTAAAAATAAATACAAGTGGGTTATATCTAGAGTGATGGCTTTCTAATCCAAATATTGTCCCACAGTTACACCAGTGTTTTTGTATGTAATTTAATTTCCCTCCAGTGTGAATTCTGTCTTAAACCTTTCATCCATCAGTCCGTTTCTTAAATGAAGGTTTGAGACCCAACTTCACTTGATTCAAATAAAGAGTATTTTTATTTAACTCAACTACAGTAGAGAGGAAAGAAAAAAAATCGTGATCGCTACCCTACGCAGAAATATGCAATTACATTAAAGAAGGCAAATCTAGTAAGTTAAGAAAGACTAATTGTACTCTGTTGTGATGCTTTTCTGGGGGAAGGAAGAGGTTGTTACCATCCTGCAGCTGGTTGTGTTGGTGTGGAACTGGTCTTCCTCAGAGTTTAGGCTCTTTACATAAAGGCTGCAGTTTAAAAGAAGAGCCTGCAGTTGGGGTTTACCGTCTTGTTTGTCTGAGTGACAAGCCCTAAAACGAACGTGTGAAAGAGTGTGTCCCTGCCCTAGAACAATTTGTGAAATACAATTAAAAATGTAGTATGCATCAGCCAGCAAATCTTGACTAATGCATTGTCGTACTTGCTCTGGGTCCCTCGGTTTACTCAAATATGTGTACATATTTAATTTTACCAGTTGCAATGCTGTAAGCAGTATTTGTGTTTAAGCATGATATTTAAAGGCATTTCAATTAACCCTAATATATTCTTAGTAGCTAGATAAGAATAAAGGGTTCAAATGTTTTACTAATTATCAGACTAGAGGGCTTTTCAGTGGTGGCATAACTGTTAATGAAAAGTGGATATTACTTTGCAACATTAACAGCTAAACGTATATGGAAAAAAAAATCCCCCCCCCCCAATACGGCTTTTCAAAACAATGCTGGGAAAGAACCTTTACCCATTCCTCAGCATCAGCTGGTCTTTGCCGAATAAAAACTGCAAGGTTAATTTTCAAGTCATCTCTTGGCTTGTGTTATGTGCTCTGAATTACATACGTTAACAGTTACATAGTTACCGCGGTTCGGCCACTTGAAAGCGCTGCTTCCAATATTCCAATTGAATTTTTTAGTCAGAAAGGATGCCCAAAGTAATTAATCCTTAGAACACATACAACAGAATAATACTAAACAGAAAGAGCAAATTTTTCTAGAGGTATGCAATTTTTTAAGACCTCAAAAATCAGGATGATTTTTCTGGAAATATTTAGTGACGGGAGCTTTCCTGTTTTCTGCACGGAAGGCAGTTATCTACCATCCTTTTTGATAGAATATTTTTATAAAATCATTTGTTCTAATCTCAGCGTTTATCATTATATGCAAAAGATTTCTTGATGAGAATATTATAGACGGTGCATGTTTTTGACATTAGCATTTTATTTGGATGACTAATCTTGCAGATGTGAAATTTTAATGAATTATTCATGAACTTGCTTTCCTCTGAAATTTCAGTTTGCTCTTAATGCTAGTTATTCAATATTTTGTTTTTTTTTCCCCCCTCCCTGTAAAATTTGATGAAGGAAAATAAGACTGTGCTTCCCGGAGAGAAAAGGTAGCCTCTCTCACATTTTTTCCCCCCAATTCTCTAAGTGGAGACTTTTCACTTTGAAATCCTGAGGGATACGCACGTCGGCCCTCCGTGATGATGAAAGCTTTTAGTTAAGATTGATTTTAATTCTGTGTTGGAAGCAGCTGGTGCTAAACCCAAGGCATATGCCGAACATAGACTCTCAGCGGTCAGGAGGGGAAAGAAACTTAGGCTGTGGCGACTTTTACTACCAGTGTGAACAACCAGCGCTTTTATTGCATTTGAGAATGCTATCATGTCAGTAATTAGTACTGACTACACAACAAATTTTTTTTTTATTGTCTGTATCCACAGACACGGAATGATGGAATTACAGTTGATGTCAAGGAATGAGTTTCTTTTATGCCTTATTGAAACAAAACAAAAGTAAAAAAAAGAAATCTTGTTACTGGCAGCACATATCCACGAAGCACCACGCTCACAGTCTGGGGTGTACCAGCTCTCTCCCGGCTTCTGGGTGGCCGAGACCGACCTGCACCCCGCAACATGCCTTTGGAATTGGTAAGTCTCATTCTCAGGATAAAAAAGCGAAACTGACTCTCAGAAACATCCAAAATGTCAAGAGGGTCTACCATTAGCCAAAAGGTACCCCAAAGATGCAAAATCCTTCTAAGTATGTTCTTCTTGCGCTTGGAAACAGACTCGAGCTGGAATGTGGAAAGGAGAGGAAATATTTTTGCAACTCTTTTTTCTTTTTCCATCATAAAATAGCTAGTGATTTACATCATATTTTGGGTCAAGAATCCAAGGTGTCTTCTAGGTCGTATGGAATGCTGGGAATCAGGTCAGAGCGGTCCGAAGGTGGCAGGGTTGGCGGTCACTCTTCCCGTGCGTAAGCCTTGATGTTTCCTGTCACTGCTGGTTCAGCGTACGCAGCGGTAACTTGTCTGACAAGGACACTCTAGAGACAAGTAGGATGGGTCCTCATTCCTGACAGTGCGTTTGCCTGATACAAGGGACTGTCTCCCTAGTGTATGCTTTTGTTTGGGGAAAAAAAAAAGTAACAAATTGTCTGTACATCTTGGCACCTTGTAAAGTTTTCTTTTTTTTTTTATACAAAAAGTTCCATAGCTTTGACACTCCCCATTAGTAATCACTACTTCACTGATAAACTTTGAAAGTGTGACCCTGGAATTTCATCATGCAAAATATTTACTGCAGCAGGAGAAAACATTTTTTAAAACAACAGTTTTTTTTTTCCTCTTTTCAAATGTATGAACTTGTTTAAGATAGCCAAGGAAGGCAGTGGCAGGATAAACGCAAGGGATAGGAATGTATCAAAAAACAAATTAACACACACGCGCACGCACACACACCAAAAGAAAAAAAAAAAACCTGTACAAGATGCTCTGATCAATGAAAACAAGAAAAAAAAATCTGTCAACTATGTTACAATTTAAAAGGCAAAAAAAAAAAAAATTTGGGAGTTCCTTCCTCCCTCCCACATGTCAGGAAATGTCATCCAATATTCTTAAAGCAAGAATAACTAAATAAAATACATGTGCAGCATACTCTGCAATTCCATTACATACAGTAGTTTTTTTTCAAAGCTTTTTTTTTTTAAGTATCGTTAATATAAAGCAGTTGCACAAAAAGCAAAGGTGTTTTGACAAACAGGTGTATGCATTTATTCCTTTTTAGGAACAATACCTAAAAAAAGAACTGCCCTCTGCCCTCCCCCAAAAAAGACAAAGATTCACACAGACACCTCGGGATATATGTACAACATAATAAAGCCCATCCTAAAGAAGAGACTGGAATGCCCCCAAGGGATACAGAATCAGAATTGTAAAAATCAGAGTGAAGTTTGCTTGCGGTAAAGCCTGAGAATTTTTTTTTTTAAGTTGGTTCTTCTGCAAGGCTGTGATACCTGCAAAGATAGGTGAAATCTAATTTTTCTTTTTTTTTTCTTTTTGCTACAGTCTTTAGACTAAGCATGCAAGACATACGACTAAGTGCAACTGAGTGAAATGTATTTTTTTTTAATTTTAATCATTCCCTAAAGGTTTGAACTGAGGTATGCGTACTAACAGTTTCTCATGCTGTTAACTTTACTCATGTCTAGCTACACATGCTGAGAATGAACTAATCTACCAGATTTTTATCCTCTTTTGAATACCAAACTAACCAGCAACCACTCAGTTTAGAAGCACAGGGCCCCCTTCCCATGACCCTGTCTGGCTACTGCCTGCACATCATGAAGCTGCCTGGAAAAGTGAAAGAAAAAAAAAAAAAAAAGTAAGTCTCGAGTGACCACAGACTGCCCTTTATATAGAAAGCAGAGAGAAGCTTCAAAGGTAACTGCCAAAGAAGGTTTTGTACCAAGCTCGAGAGTGGACGGGAGTGTTACTTTTTTTTTTTTTAAATAAGAAATGCCGACCCAAGCCTAATCTGAAAAAAAATCTTTTAAAAAGTAGGGTAAAAAGGAAACATGTTTAAAAAACAGAAACACAGAGGATCTATGCCAGGGTGAACCCAAATTAACGCAGTGATCACAGCACAGTCCTTAAACAGAAGTGGCATCCAATCCGGCTTTAGAAAAGAAATGTCTTGTAGAAGGACTAGTATGTGGTCTAGGTCAACTGCGGAAGCTTTAGCTGCTCTCCCTGAACTTGACCTTCACTGTCTCCTTCACTGGACACCCCCTAGGTTTCAGCGCCACACACTGGTTTTTCTCTGAGATGGTACTCCTTCGTTCGCTCCCTTAATACTGTGTCCTGTTTCTGTCTTCAGTAGCCCCGTAATTTCTCTTTACAAGTTTTGGTCTCTGTAGAGGTACAGAAGGAAAACAAGAAAAAGAAAAAGAAAACAATAACAACTAAAAAAAAAAAGTAACAACTTTGGTTCCATTACCTACTTGGTCTTCTAAATGTAGTCTATGGTGAGAGAAGCAGTTTTCTTATGTTAGCAATAGCCTATTTCTCATCAATTGCCTCTAAATTCTTTCGCCTCCTTTGATCAACAATAAGAGGATATTTGGCTTCATCAGATAAAGCATAAAACAGAGAACATAATTTACCTTTGTGTAATATCTTTGGTAATTTTAGGAAGAAAAAAAGGTACAAAGCATATAAATTAAGCTCCAGAGGCTCTCCAACTAAAACAAAAGCTACAGCCCTAGATAAATAAGCGAGTGACAGGGAAGAGGGTGCAGAGTGGAGGCGTCAGGGGCTCAAAGGACTGAGGCTGTACTGAGCCCTGACCGCCGCGCTCTACACACCGTGCTTGTTTCCCCAGAAAGCCCAGGGCTGGGATGTGCCCCCCGAAGTCTTCTGCTGTTGGTCTGTGATCCTGGGTTGGTGGGGTAATATTGCATAACGCACTGACCCGCTGTACCAAATTTGCACATTGGAAATTAACACTGTAGCATTAGCTGAACCCGGTCCTCATTAACTCTCATCACAAGTTCAATCCGAAATCTAATTTGCATTCAAACAGATTAATGCCACCAAGCAGGTCTGAATGGATGTTTCAATTCAGTGCCACCACCGCTTTTCAGCAAAGTTGCTCAGGGAAGCCAGCTTTTGGGTCATTTTGCAAACAAAGCAACCCTTGCTGGTTTTAAGGACCGAGAGGGCCTGAGGCCCATCTCAACTCGGTTACTGCAAGGAGAGCCCCCCAGGGCCACACCGCCAGTTTAACTACTGTGAGATTTTGGGGGGGGGGCGGGGGCTTGCTGCACGTTTCCTGTGCTGGTAAACGCTGTGGTGTTTGTTAAGGATGATGGTAGTTTCCAAAAAAAAAAAAAAGAAAAAAAAAAGAAAATCTGTTTACAACCCCCTTCCCACCTTCCAATACTGCTTCGTGGAATGAATCTGTCTTGTTCCTAAAGTGTCTCTTTTTTTTTCTGTCATTCATTCTCTTTCTGGCAGGACTTTGCGTCTGGGTGAGAGAACCTTCATGTGTAGAGTGCAGCATTTGGGACCTTTTTTGAAAAAGACCAAAACGGAATGTTTTCTGACTTTCGAGAAAACAGTGGTGATGTCTGAAGGGAAAATGGAATGAGTGACAGAAAACTACGAACGAGAAATGACATTCAGCTTTGTATAATAAAAACACCTATTAACATTCATCACAAGGTACAGAAAACTTTTAAGCCTCCAAGAGGCCATGGGCCCAAATGGAGGCCTGAGGTCAGAACTTAAAATGGTATAGTAGAAGCCAAAAAAAAAAAAAAAAAAAAAAGCAATACATTAAAAAGTTTGGGATAATTATTTTTAACCCCTCCCCCCAATACACACACAAAGGCCTTCCCCATCCCAACTGGAAGCAAAAAAAAAAAAAAAAAAAGGAGGAAAGGCAGTGATAATCAGCATGCAGTACTGTGCAAACAGGTCGTCCCCTGGAATCCTTGAATTCTGGGCAGAGGCTTGGTCTGCAGCTTAGGTGCGCATGCTCAGTTGGGCGTCCTCAGTGTCCAGCGTCGGCAGGACTGCAGTTCAGAGTCTGCTGCTAAAAGTGAATCAGTTTAGCAAATTTACAACACTGATGTTGACTGTTAAAGAGGAAAATCCCAAGTACCAAACGAGTCCGTCCAATGCACAGAGTACAAATTCCTTTTTTCAACAAAAAGTAGAAAAATCAAAAATACTCCCAAATGGGATTCCTGATGGCACTAAGAGTTAACACATTTCAGAGTTGTCAAAATGTAGTGAAAAATCCTCCAGACTGTACAACAAATGGAGAACGATTTCACTGCGAACTTTTGACGTGTTTTTGTTTTGTTTTGTGTGTGTGTATGTGTGTGTGTGTTTTTTTTTTCCCCCAATCTTCACTCTTGGGGTCGGCCTGCCCAGACGTTCACTCCATGTCCTCGTTTACCGGTTCGTCTTCATAATCTCTGTCGTGGTCAAAATCTGGACTGTGGTTGGCTGTTGTCACTAAGGAGAGCGGCCCTTCAGCTTCCTCTGGATCGAGGGGCTCTTCTTTGACATGGACAGGATGCCTGGAAAAAGAAGAGGAGGTTCGCTGAGGGGACGTCTCAACCCAAGGTGAGTCTGGTGTTCTGGGCAACACAGAAGCCACCGTCTAGGGCTGCCACGTGGAACACAGCCACCAGTAACCACAGGTGACCACTAAAGTGAATGCAAACAATTTAAAATGCAGTTCCTCACACTGGCACTGGCCACATTTCAAACGCTCAAGGGCCACACGTGCGGGCTGATGGCTGCCATGCTGGACAGCAGGGAAAGAGAAATTTGCACTATCGTGCAAGTGCTTTGGACAGAAGCAGGAGTGGGCCTGTCCTCCCCAGCGGTGTTTCTGACCCTCCAACGTGCACTTCAGTTACTTGAATTCAAGTTAAAAGACAGCCTGTGACTCAGCAGGTCTGGGATTGGGACCCGAGACTCTGTGTCTGTCACAGGCGCCCCAGCGATGCTGCTGGTCCGGGGACCAGACTTTGAGTACCAGGTAACAGGCCCCACAGAGGCCTCCTGGGTGGATGAATATAAATCTTCAAGTAATTACGGGAACTAAGGATGTGTAATACAAGGGTGGTTTGGGGGGACCTCTGTGCAGGAGGCTGGGCTAATCATGGCGTGCTGTGTGTTGTGTGTTGCTAGTTAACATGCAGAACCTGGGAAAGAACTCTCCGGAGACCGACCCCAAGCGAGGGTCTGTCATTAATCAACTTCAAGCAAACACAGCAAAGAGACACCATGATACATGCTTGAAACTCCAAATTAATGCATATTTTTACAAACTGTCAATAAGGCAAGAAAAGCCCTGCCAGGAAACACAAACGGAGAGGAAAAGGCTCGCTCAACACAACAATATGACAAGAAAGCAGAGCCCCAATCAGAATAATGACGCTGTCAGCTGTAAACAAGGCAAAACATGAGGCCGGGCTGGTAGCGGCCACCGGGACACACGGGGCTTCGATGCGATCTGCCAACTTTCCCATTATGGACCGGCGCGCGCGGTGCACCCGGAGGGGCCGCGGGGGAGGGAGGGGTAACCCGCAAAGAAACCGCTCTGATAACAATTGAGAAATGTTGTTCGTAAATCATATTTACAACCGATCCTTTGCAAATACAAATTACTTTCGGTTGCAGGGCTTTTGATATGTAAAAGAACCATTCAAGTTAGGGGGAAAAAAAACTGGTCCCGTTGCTGGGACAGGCTGCAGAAGGGAGGATTTTTTTAAAATTGACATTATCAAATATTAGTTACAAGAGGTGGTGCCAGGGATGGCTGCTTTGTGAATAATTGATGATGTATGCAAACCCCAAAGGCCACTGGAACCCTTTAAAAACAGAGGAGTGCTTTTGGACTGCCCTTGACGCCTGAACCTTCAGAAAGCCGTGACTCAAAATCACACAGCCTGGAGAGCATTTGAGGGCAAGATGTCAGGATGTATAGCTCTTAAAAAATAGCGCCCGTATTCTTAAAAAATATTTGCAGAACGAAATACACTGAAGTTGTATGTGAGTACATTTTACTAGTTTGGTTCCATCTATTTTTAGTTCTTTAATGGCCCCATTTATCTGTGTTTCAACAGAAGACCCAGGACCGGCTGCGTACTTTGGAGAGCCCAGTGCAATGTGAACATGCCTTAAAAAATTCGTTCAGAGTTTCAAGACGGGCACAGCCGAGCATTGCAGCCTCTCAGCACGGGCTCCTGTGTGACTCTGTCCACCACACGCCTGGGAAGGCAGCGCTGGTAGGATCCCCTGTATTCTTTTGGGAAGAGTTAGGTGTATTGATTTTATTCCTTAAACAATCACCCAAAACCCTAAGTAAGGTAGGATTTTTTTGTTTTATTTAGTCTGTCCTCTCCCACTTGGGGCCATATTTTTCCATATTATAAACATGACGGGAATATGGAGATTTTGCTCCCTGTACAGTTTTAATTTTTCCGGCTACATCAGATTTCAGTGTTAGTAGTGGGCATGTTGTGACTGTCTTCTTGTGGCCCCCTTCCCCTGGTTTTTTGTACATAATACAGTGAGCCCTTTTATCCGTTAATTGTCCTACTTGTGTTGACCTGCCTCCTTAGGGTAAATTTCTAAGCATGAAATTGGTGGAGCAAAGGCTCAAACATCTTACAGATCTTAAGATTTATTGCGATACTAATTTCCAAAGGAGAGCTGTCAACTTAGACTCAACCTCATGAGCACCAAGCGTTGCTTTTTAGAAACACCGTGTTGCTCAGCAGGTGCAGGGTAAGCTCAGGTCACCTGGAGCTGTGTTTCTTGGACTACTGACCATGGTGAACACGGCTTTTATGTTTTGGTTTCTTAGTTTCACTGTTGAGAACTGTTACTTCCTAAAGTATCTCTTCTTCTTCACCGACAACATGGGGTCTAGTAACAATTGGATAGGAGTGTTTCTGTGTGACATTTAGCCTGGACTGAGATCCAGAGGTGTTTCCCTGATCAACAGTGTTCCTGTTTTCCTTTTTTAAAACTATCAGTGGTATTGATCTTCTCGGGTTTACAAACCTGAATCTGATGACCAAGATGGTATGAGGCTACGAGTGGGAGGGGTGGTGGGACCTAGAAGGAACTGAAGAGTCTTAATCAAGTTCTTGCTTTAATAATTTTAGACTCTGACGAATGTTTTGCTAGGCCAACATGCAAACCACCACCCTACACCCCAAATCAGATACATTTAAACCCCCCTGCAAAGTACAGCTCACATTTAGAGGATATTTGGTTTTCCCTTGAAATTTGCAACCAAACTTCAATAACATTACTTTCCGTCCCAAAGGCACAGGTGTCGACCAGCCCGTGCGTGCTGGCCCAACCCCAGTCAGTGCCTGCTGCCCAGCAGGGGTGAACTGCCCGG